GGGGATGCGAACAGCCAACCGTTGAGTCAGCACCCAAGCACTTTATCACTGTGTCACCGGGACAGCTAGTCTGGGAGTCCGTGGGAATCCGGACGAGGCTGTGCTTTCCCATCTCGATTCAGTCTCTTCTTTTGGCAACACAGCCCAAGTGAACTGGTGGAGGGGGCCACCATGTACTTGTGGATTCACCCACCCAGGCCCTGGACAGAACCGCTAAGCACCGTGTCGGCGCAGACACCACGCAGCAACAGACGTTTTTAATAGCCGTTGGAGACCAACAGAGGAACTTCCCACAACTTAACTTCGCCAAGTCAACAACCCACTGCGGGAGGTAGGAACAACTCCCTGGGGGCGGCTTGCATGTTGCTAAAGCCAGGGAGGCAAAACAAACTCCCATGGGAGGGAAGGGCACCAGGTACCCTTCTCGGAATGCTTGGCTCACTCTCCGGGCCAGCACAGAGCAGCCCGCTCGCCTCACCCACACAGCTGCAAAGTCCAACTGAGTTGGCCCTGGCACACCACACACACTCCAATTACACGAGGGCTCCCAAATCCCTTTGGATGCAGTGACCCCAGAGGACTGCCCATAGCTTTTCCAAGTCTGTTAAATCTTTATAGAAGCAGACAGCCACAATCTTTCGGCCACTGTGGGGTTGAATCGCTAACCTTTCCGTTCATATCGCAGGTGAGCGAGCACTTAGACCAGGAGTTCTCAACTTGTGGGTCGCAACCCTTTTGGGGAGGGGTCGAACGACCCTTTCACAAGGGTCGCCCAATTTATAACGGTAGCAAAATTATAGTTATGGAGTAGCAACGAAAATAATTTTATGGTTGCAGGGTCACTACAACATGAGGAACTGTATGAAAGGGTTGAGGCATTAGGAAGGTTGAGAACCACTGGCCTAAGCCAATCATTTATCAGCTGCTTTGACCCTTCAGGCCTCCCTCGGGCATGCCAGGTTCAGTTCCAGAGAGTCACGCAGCTCGGCGAAGAGCGAAATCATGTGAGAAAAGACGCTCAGAAGCAGGGGAGTGAGCAGGCACTGTAGGAAAAATTGCTTGACTCCCAGGGTAGCCACAGACCTTCAACTGATGAAAGATGAAGCGCCCAAGTGAAATTAGAGGAGACGGGTGCGCCCACGGCGTCAGGGACCAGCCAGGACCCAGCTCCCTCATCATCTCAACACCCACAGAGGGATGACTACCCACTTGATGCACTTCAGACGAGACTAAAGCAGTCACCACGCACGTACCTCTACCCGTCCCACTAGTAGTGACAAACCAAGACTCACAGCGAGACCGCCAGGAGACCCAGACGGCACCTCCCTAGGCACACGCAAGCTTCCCAAGAACGCAGCAGCAAAGGAAGTCTCTTCGCTGCCACATACATGCTGAGCACGGAGCATCACCCAAATTCCCAGAAAAAAAACCACCCCAACTTAACTGTCTAGGTGAAGCCGAATCATAGCGACCGACCCGACAGGACAGGGCAGCTCTGCCCCCTGTGAGTTTCCCACACTGTCCCTCTTTATAAGAGCAGGAAGCCCCATTTCTCCAGAAGCGGGCGAGGGTTTGAGAACTGCTGACCCTGCAGTCAGCAGCGCAATCAATGCGTAACCACTCCCCCCACCAGGGCCTGCTGATTTGGCATCAGAGGGAGGTAAAGCTGTGTCCTTGTCTGAGTTTTTCCCCATATTAGGGGCTCATACAACTCTTATCACAATCCATACATCATCGTGTAAAGCACATTTGTACATTAACTGCCCTCATCATTCTCAAAACATTTGCTCTCCACTTAAGCCCCTGGCATCAGCTCCTCATTTTGTCCCTTCCCTCATGAGCCCTTGATAATTTATAAATTATTATTTTGTCATATCTTGCCCTGTCCGATGTCTCCCTTCACCCACTTTTCTGTTGTCCATCCACCAGGGAGGAGGTCACATGTAGATCCTTGTAACTGGTTCCCCCCTTCCAACCCACCCTCCCTTGTCCGAATTTCAAGCAAACCCCAACCAGCTGGTACACCTCAGAGACTTGTCACTGTTTCTGGCCCCTCCCACTCTCTTGTCAATACAAGTCACCTGTTTGTACAGCCACAAGAGGGTGCAGACGACTGTGATGTCAGCCAGGGTCACTCGGTCACCCACCAGGAAAGTCCTGGTTTTCAAGTGAGCATCCAGCAGGCCCAGGATTCGCCGCACCTCCTCCTTGGCGTTCTCGGTGGCCTGTAGAATTTGAGAGGTCAGCCAGCCAGTGGGTCCCAATCCTTCCCCTGCCACAACCAAGGGACCCATTTCATTTACTGGGTTCCCAGTCCAGCCCCACCCTTCCAAGGTGTCAGATTCAGAGGTCATTCCAAACCCCTCCATCACCAATGCTGGAATGATCTGTACTGGAGCTTGGATTTCAGAAGGAGCTGAGCGGGCAGCTACTCAAATTGCCCGGCAGCAAAAATCTCTCCTCGGACTCCTGATGTCCTTCACCATCTCTCTACCGGGTCAAACCAGAAACCTGGATCCAGGCAGCCCACTGTGCCAGATCCAAACTTCTCTCTCCCCAGTTGGTAATGTTTTCTTAGATTGCTTGCTCTCTGACCACCCCATCCCCACCCCGACCTCCCACTCCCTCTCCCCGGGTGCTCCTGGTTTCCTCAAAGCCCAAGGCTCACCTGCTTGTTGTGATGCATGATGCCCAAGGTGGGGAACACCCAGGTACTGGCTGGGGGGACTATGTCACTGTCCGCGAAGCTCACCCACTGCACCACCTGGGCTGCTGCCTCTGGGGTTCTTCCACGTAGCTCCTCATTGCTCACTGCAGCCAATGCGGAACAGGCCAGTGAAACCCTGGGGGCCAAGCTAATGCCAGCCCGAGGCCCGGAGGATCTCCTCCGGCCCACTCCAGCCCCCCCACCGTTGCCACCCCACCTCCCCTGCAAAATTACCATAGTAGGCAATGGCATTGCTTTCAAACACACAGAATCCATCATCACCTTCAAACGCTGGGACCTGGGGACAAAGCAAGCAAAAGGCACCGTGAAGCACACTCACCTGGTTCCAGAAACCCACAGGTGACCACCCGCTATCAAATTTGTGAAACTATCAGAAACTCAAGCCTCAAACGTATTTGACTAACGGAAGCCGCTTGCTTTTGGAACTCTCCCATACCCACTATCGGATTACCTGAAGAAACCCTTCAGACTACAAATGACTTGAGACCAAGGCTGACAGATATCTAAGTCGACTCCCTTCATTAGGGCGCTGGACATCTTCTGCCCTTTCCATTATGCCTATCTCTGGGAGGCCGCTTAGGGAGGCCCCGCGGAGTTGTACTGCCAACCGCAAGGCCAGCCCCACAAAACGCCAGCCCGCTCCTCCAGAGGAAGATGACGACGTTGTCTGCTCCTCGAGAGAGTTACAGCCTCGGAAACCACAGGGTCACCGAGTCCAAATGGCCTGATGGCAGCAAGTAAGGCCCCTTGCAGTGAGAACCCTGCTCCCGGCAGGCACTTGGCATGTTTACACTGAACATGGAAAGGACTGCCTAGAAAGCAGTCTGTGGTTCCCCCAACAAGCTCAAAAAACCCAAACTCCCATCAAGCAAATTCTAACGGCTGGCAATCCTACAGAGCAGGGAGAACTGCTCCCTGGGGGTTCCCAGACCAGTGGTTCTCAACCTGTGGGTCTCAACCCCTA